TGTGATACGGATCTCCCACATTGGTGACCCCGACGTGATCTCTGATTGAAAATCGTGCGGAGATCGCAGTAATCCGCGCAAATTCATTAACTCTGATTGGGAAGCAAACACGTTGTTCTTACATAACCTCGAAACATGGTTAACCACAGCGATGATGAGGACGCCGTTTTGAGGCAGCAAGCGCTCCCGCAGGCACATCAAGCGCCGCCGCCCTCCAAATACAGCAGCAGGCGGACCAATTGCAGGTGCCACTTCAACCGCAATCTCCGCTTCAACCGGCAATTTTTGAGCCGACTGCTCTCCAACAGCCCGTTGCATTTAGCCCGAGTTCGTCCGCTCCGCTGCAATCGAGCACACCCAAGCCGGAAGTCGACGAGCAGACATCAGTTGAGATCAGCCGAGTGTCGTTAAAGGCTCCCCCGCACTTGAAAGGGCACCCGGACGTATTCTTCACCCTGCTGGAGTCACAATTTGCAAGTCTCCGCATTACGGTGGACGACACAAAATTTCACCTAACTTTGAATATACTGCCTGCAAAATACCTGGAAACGATCATGTACATCTTGCGAAATCCGCCGCCTACTGGAAAATACGAAGCGATCAAGGCAAAAATTATTGACGAACACCGGCCCTCGACTCAGGCCCAGTTCGTGCAGTTGTTCCGGACGTTGGAGCTCGGCGATAGCAAGCCATCTATACTGCTGGCTAGGGGTGGCATGGGAAAAGACGCCCTGAAAGCCATGTGGTTGGAGCGGTTGCCCGAGGGCTTGCGACTCGTAGTGGCGATGGCACAAAGCGAGCTCGACAATCTCTCGCTAATGGCTGACCGCACTTGGGAGTATGCGCACCCCAGGCTCAATGCAGTTTCCGCAACCGCCCCGTTTACAACCCATTTCACGACATCTCAGCACGAATCTCTGGAACGGGGTTGAGGACCATGGAGGACGGGCTCTGAAAACATCTAGACCGCCAGAGCCGCGATCGATTCAACAGTCCTAACCGAAGTCAACTTAGCCGCAATCGATCAAAGTCCCGAGTCGACCGCTTTTGCTACTACAACAATCGATTTGGTGAGAAGGCGAACAGATGCAGATCGCCTTGCAAGTGGCCGACGGAAAACTAACCGCCACTTCGCACGAGGCAGCATGTGAAGTGGACGCGATCCAATCCTGCCGTCTTTTCATATTCGACAGAAATGCAAACACCGAATATCTGATAGACACAGGTGCGGATATATCAGTTCTGCCCGCCAACGCGTTCCCACACCTCAAACCATCTTCAACCCATCGCCTATACGCCGCCAATGGAACACCAATTAGTTCCTACGGGACAAGAACCGTGACTCTAACACTTGGTCTCCGACGATGTTTCAACCGGACGTTCATAGTGGCCAACGTGTCCAAAGCCATCATCGGTGCCGATTTCCTCTCCCGATACGGTCTCATCATCGACGTAAGGCGACGCCAAATCATCGATGGGACCACATCACTGTCTACCGTCTGTGAGCTTCGCCATGTCCAGTACTCACCCATATCGACCGTTTCCAACGCATGTGAGTACCACGACTTGATCTTACTATATAAAGACCTGACTCTGCCTCCGGTTTTCGACGAGGAGTTCGTGCAAAACACCCGAGTGCAGTACTACATTGCGACGAAAGGCCAACCTGTATTTGCTATCGACGGTTGAACGCGATCACTGTTGCCGACCGATACCCACTCCCACACATCCACGATATCAACCAGGTCTTCGCCGGCAAGTCCATATTCTCTACCATCGATCTGGTCAGCGCCTATCACCAGATCCCGCTCGCCCCGGAAGACCGAGAGAAGACAGCCATCACCGTTTGGGCTTTTCGAGTTCAATGTGATGACTTTTGGACTCCGCAATGCATCGCAAACGTTTCAACGGCACATGAACAACATTCTCGGCGATCTCGACTTTGTGGCAGTGTATATCGACGACATTTCTGTGGCTTCGACAAATAAAGCCCAGCACAGTCAACACCTTAAGATTGTTTTTGATCGCCTGCGGCAAGGCAACCTACGTATCAACGTGGCCAAGAGCGTATTTGGAAAGACTAACGTAACTTTTCTGGGACACTCTATCACGGCATCCGGCGTATCCCCAACGGTCGAACGAGTGAACGCGATAAATGAGTTCCCGAAGCCGACAAAGATATGCGAATTGCGCCGATTCATTGCCATGCTGCCTGGCCAGCGCAACACGGTTGGCGTACCCGATAGCCAACGCACCCCTTGCACTTCAGGTCGACGCCAGCAATTATGCAATCGGTGCAGCACTTCACCAAGTTAATGAAGGGCACCTGCAGTCACTGAGCTTCTACTGTAAGCGCATGACGGACACACAAAAGCGCTACAGTAGGTACGACCGGGAGCTCTTAGCAATTTTCCAAGATGTCAAATTTAATCGCTTCATGATCAAAGGACGCGACTGCACCATTTACACCGATCACAAACCATTAGTATATGCACTTCGACAGGATCCCGAGAAAGGATTGCCACGAGAGGCGAGACAATTGTCATTTATAGCCGAATTCTGCACGAAAATCGAGCATACCTTCTTATTCTAGTAGACTTCTTTTGATTAATTTACCATTAGTATATGCACTTCGACAGGATCCCGAGAAAGCATTGCCACGAGAGGCGAGACAATTGTCATTTATAGCCGAATTCTGCACGAAAATCGAGCATACCTTCTTATTCTAGTAGACTTCTTTTGATTAATTTACTATCCCTAGCCAACCGTAGAACGTTGCTTGGTACTATCTTTATTTATAACCTTCTACATGGTGATATTGACTGCCCCGACTTGTTAAGTCGGCTAAACTTTTCCGTGCCAAGTAGATTAACTAGAAATTATATTCCCCTAATTTTAAATCATTGTAGATCTAACTATGCCTTGCATGAGCCTTTCAGAGTATTATGTTCTGACTATAATAGACTTTTTCCTGTAATATCAAATCTTGACTCTCCTAAAACGATTAATACTTGCTTCATTGGCACAAGATTGATCTAACTATTACTTTTTTCCCCGGACCTTTACCTTTATTTTCCTATCTCGCGTCTATCCTATCGCGAATCGTGCCGTACGATACACGGCTGCGCACCTCGGTCGGTTGGGCGGGTAAGTGGGCCGTGGGACTCCGCAAAAAAAAAAAAAAAAAAAATATTACTGGAGCCGATAACACCGTTGCAGACGCCCTATCCCGCATCGCGGGAATCGAGCAGATCGATATGAACGAATGCGCACGCCTACAAGAAGCGGACGACGAGCTAAACCGGCTGTCGAGAGACATCGAAACGGGCAAATCGTCGTTGCAATTGCGCAAACTTCAGCTGCCTAACTCTAACATCAGCATATATTGTGATATATCGACATCCCGTATTCGTTCATACATTCCGCCGCCCATGCGAAGAACCATATTCAACGTACTGCATGGTATGGCACACTCTGGCAAACGTGCCACCGTCAAATTGGTTACTGAACGCTTCGTGTGGCCCAGCATCAACAAAGACATCACCTCATGGTCATCGTCCTGCCTTCAGTGCCAGCGATGCAAAATACACCGATACAACAGAGCCGCCCTCAGCAGCTTCGACGTGCCCGATGCCCGATTCCAACACATCAATATAGACCTGATCGGCCCGCTACCACCGTCCAATGGTTACCGCTACTGTTTGACGGTCATCGACCGATTCAGCAGATGGCCAGCTGTATTACCAGTGACTGAGATGACTGCCGAAGAGGTGGCACTCGCACTCCTGCACGGATGGATCGCACATTATGGAGTGCCGGTGAAAATCACGACCGACCAAGGACGACAATTTGAATCTGGCCTCTTTAAAGAGCTGTCGCGCATCCTAGGCGTCAAATTGAGCAGAACCACACCATACCACCCGCAGTCGAATGGCATCATTGAGCGCTTTCATCGCACACTAAAGGCATCATTGAAATGTCACAATACCACCGACTGGTACAACCGCATTCCCATTACTTGGACAACGAGCGACACTAAAAACAGACATCAACGCATCACCCGCCGAAATGCTGTATGGCACTACCATACCTCTTCGAATCAACCCGGATTGAAGATTGCAATTCCAACTTCGTCAAGAACCTGCGGAACATCATGACGCAGCTCCAGCCACCGCAAACTTCAGACCACGCTACAACAAGAACCTCATTCGTCCAAAAGCATCTGCAGACGAGCTCACATGTCTTCATCAGAGACGACACCGTACGCTCCCCGTTAAAATCGCCATACGATGGACAATATCCTGTCCTACACCGAGAGGACACATTTTTCGACGTAGAAGTGAAAGGCAAACGACTAAGAGTCAGCATCGATCGACTTAAGCCAGCACATCAACCGACGACACCAGCGGCATCTCCAGCAATCGACGTCCCTCAGCCAACAACGACGACAACGCGAGGAGGACGGCACGTGCAGCTACCGCCTCGCTTCCAAAGCCAGTGGTCATCTTCCCGGTCCAGCAATCAGCCATGCTGATTTCTGGGGGGGAGTAATGTGGGGGACTACCTTACGAGTTCCAACCACATGTCAGCGTCTCTCGGTGAATACCAAAACAGCTGAGCTGCGCATGCTTCACCGGGAATGGCACTTATCGACAGATAAAGCTTTATCCAGAGATATCAGCCCTAGTTCCCTCTCTTCTGAACGAGTCTCGACGAGAAACGCAACTTGCTAAAATTAATCCTCATTATAATCAAGCACCATTAGTGAATAAAAGATTGCTGTGATACGGATCTCCCACAGTAGCATTAGAGATGCTCCAGAATCTGAACTTAAGTACTTGGGTACAATAAAACATTGCGCATGAGTTAGAAACGGGCAGGCTACATTTAAGCAGGCCCTTGATGAAAGATTATACTATCTCATCTCATCTGCGTAGATAAAAGTCTAAATTTATAATTTTTAAGTTGGCAGTCACCTCGAATAAAATGGAAGTACTTACTTTTGTTGCACATAGTTCCAATTGCTTGAAAGGAAGTCCAATAGTGTCGTGTACCCAATGGATTGTGTGGTAACCATATTAATAATTAGTATTTTATCGGATTCGGAAAAAAAAGATACATTTTGTAGAAGGGCCAAATCGAGCAGGTGATCTATTTTTTCCCGCTGTGATGGGCATCCAGCTAGCATCTTTAACAAAAAGGTGCGATCACTTTGAAGACGGAGCTTTGGAAATTGACTTATTCGTTCCAATCCAAACATCCATTCTTTTAGAGAGCCCCACTTAAACACTGGGCATATAAACTCGTTGGGTACCCTGAAATGTAAAATTATTTGTATTATATATTTATTTTAAGTCTTACCCAAACCCCGTTGAGAACGGATGTGTTACGTGGGAGGTTCGGGAAATCACTAAAAACTAAACAAACAAAATTGTTAAAAATAGCGATGTATCAATTTTTGAAGGATAAAAAAGGGGCGTGGTAGTAGATGCCTAAAAAACATTGTATCGCCAAGAATGTAGTTTACATCATTAGTAAAACTAAAAACACGCAACTCTTCAAGGTCGATCTAGAGCTGACAGCCGATCCATAAAAAAACGATATGCTCCCGATCACTGTAGAGTTCAACAAAGGTACGATTGCGTTGCACAATTTGCCAGATGAGTGGACACACGAGGTAAAACTGCACCTTTCGGTCAGTCTTCATAGCTTGTAGGAACTTCCACAATTCTGAACCCGGTCTTGCTTAGACCGAAAATTAGATGGCTCGATAGAATGCTGGTGTTACTGGCCTAACTCTCAGTCATCCTTAAGGAGTTACTCTAAATATATTTATGAGCTCTTAATCGCGCGGAGCTCTATTCTGTTTGAACCTTGAAAGTAAGTAAAAACTTATATCTATAAACACTTATAACTATGTCATCCTAACTAAAATAAAATTAATGCTTTCAAGATTGGCAAAGAATCGGTGGTGGAAAAAATATTTTATAGTCTGTTTATAAGTTAATAGCATGATTGTACGGTTGAATAAAAATAGTAAATCTATATATATAAAAGAAAGTCGTGTTAGTTACTTCACTTATAACTCAAGAACGGCTGAACCGATTTAGCTGAAAATTGGCAGGGAGGTAATTTTGAGCCTGGAGAAGGACATAGGATAGGATCCCGTTCCACAGCATTCCCGTTGAGGAGATAAATAATCGTGCTTTAGTTTTGATCGAAGATATGTGTTACCTCATGTGCGGTAATTTATTAATCAGGTTAGGAATGCCAGCACAATATCGTGAAAGGAATGACGCATTTAATCGAGAATTGGAACGGGAACGTGAATATGATCACCAAGAATTAGATTTATTAGTTCAAACGAATGTACCCCTGTTGAATTACCAACAAAAGGAAGTTTATGATACTTTAATGAAGGCAATCGATGATGAAAATGGTGGTTAGTATTTCCTAGATGCCCCTGGTGGAACTGGAAAGACATTCCTCATGTCATTAGTTTTAGAAACTGTTCGGGCGAGATCTAACATAGTGGATGCAGTTGCTTCTTCTGGAATAGCAGCCACATTGTTAGAAGGATGCAGTACGGCTTATTCAGCATTCAAATTACCGTATAATCTTCAAACCATTGAAGAACCAACGTGTAATATTGCAAAACACTCAGCAATGGCCAAAGTTTTAGCGGTATCGAAAATCATCATCTGGGACGAATGCACAATGGCGCATAAACGTGCACTAGAAGCACTTAACCGAACATTTAAAGATTTACGCAATGACTCGAGATGTTTTGGAGGAGGAATGATTTTACTTTCTGGCGATTTCCGCCAAATACTGCCAGAAAATTTATGAAAAAAAAATTTACGCTACGATAATGATCGGAAAATTCAAAGGTGAGAAAGTTCTCATTCCGAGGATACCGATGATCCCAACCGATATGCCGTTTGAATTTAAAAGACTTCAATTTCCGATACGTCTTGCATTTGCCATGACCATCAACAAATCACAAGGCCAATCCTTAAAAGTTTGTGGCTTAAATCTAGAACATTCATGTTTTTCCCATGGTCAATTCTACATTGCATGTTTACGGACCGGAACACCACCTGCGTTGTTTGTTTTTGCGCCTGATAATAAAACAAAAAATGTCGGTTATCACAAAGTACTTAAATGAAGAGCAATCTATGTACTGAAATACACAAATAATTATGAATGATTAATATGCGTATTTTATTTTTTTTGTATTTGTTCCAAAAAAAAAAAAATAAGATTATTTATTGACACTAATACGGAACAAAGTTCGCCGGGTCACCTAGTTAATTATAAAACGACAACTAGATGATAAAACAAGAGAGAACGCTATAGTCGGGTGCCCCGACTATCAGATACCCGTTACTCAGGTAAAGGGAGTGCGAGGGAGATGGAGATAGAAATTTTGATCACGCATAACTTTTTAACGAATGGTCCGATTTGAAAAATAAAACTGCATTTTTACTTTTCCGAAATATTTAAATTTTTAAAATCGTATATAGGGGATTGTGGGTGTTAAAGGGGGCGTGGCACCATTTTGAAACAAACTTGCGCTGCGTAGGAACTCCTAGAATCTGCTTGCAAAATGCCAATCTTCTAGCTTTTATAGTTTCCGAGATCTCAGCGTTCATACGGACAGACAGACGGACAGACAGACGGACAGACGGACATGGCTATATCGACTCGGCTAGTGACCCTGATCAAGAATATATATACTTTATAGGGTCGGAAACGCTTTTTTCTAGCTGTTACATACTTTTGCACGAATACAATATACCCTTTTACTCTACGAGTAATGGGTATAATGAGGTTTACATCCTAGTTTTGGCCCAGTCGTTGTGATCGCCCCGAGCTGTGTTGCCGCTTTTCTTTAAAGGTCAGCAGAGCTCTTAGTGACGCAGGCCATAACCTTCACAATTCCCTGGTCCTACCCAGCACCCTGGCAGGAAGGGGTTGGTATTGCTTGTAGGCATTGATACAACAGGAAGCCGCCTTTAACTTATCAACTTGGATATAAGCAGTAAGATCGAGCAATGAAATTTCAGGGGCGAACCGTTAAACAAAGAATGCTGGTAACTATTTTCGGTAGCACGTTTGTGACCGTTTTTGGAACTACAGATTAATACCTGCACTACCAGTATCGGCCGTTAATCCGGATGAGAAATTATCAACATGATCAAATTACGACAGAGCTTTTTATGAGAACTGTGCTTCCAATAAGATAACTTGAAATCAATTTTAGAAATTCACATGGAAACTGTCTTGGCGACAGCACATCGCGACCAGCTCCTTTGGGACCGTTTCTTTATTATCGCCCGATTGGGCGACTCCGTAGATCGGCAGTTCCCAAAAAAGCCCGGAGTGGGTTGCGCGACGCTTACAACAGACTGCTCACCAACCGCGAGTTTTTACGCTTGGGAGGTAGCAAATGGCTAGTGAGCTGCGATTTCAGCGCCAAAAGTAGATACTTATTTTTATGAAAGTTTACCTAGGCTCAGAATCGGTCGCTTTAATAGTTTTATTCTATTTATCAGGTGTGCCTTCTCAATATAAAGAGTCAAAAAATGCATATGTAGATCATTTCAAATTAATATAATTCATTATGGGGAATTACATAGATTCAAATCGACCAAAAACTCATGAGCTATTTCGAATTCTTGCATAGCATAGGACTGGTCCCAAAAATGTCAATTGAAATCTGAAATTTTGTTCGTCCCAAACTTGTGTGATCTTGTTGTAGAAATTTAAGGCTTTTGTTTTTATCGCACTGAACTTGATAATTATGGGATAGGGGTGGGAATATTTGTGAGTAAAATTGTTCAGTCCTTGTTTTATATAAACATCTAATCCATAGTGCAATAGAACATATCGTCGTATAAATTAAAGATAATTGGGTGATGTTTGGTGGATACATATATCGATTTAATACTATATTAATTGAAATGGCGAGGGGCGGCTCTCCAATGGGGTTGATTTAATAGTCCAGGAAAATTACTTATTTTTCACTTTACGTAGAATTTATTTCACAATTAGTTAAACTTCACTTCTTTCTTCGTACACTGGTAGATTAGAACTAACTTAAAGCTACGGGGTGGATGTTTCAAGAAGCCGCTTGGAGAGCGGAGTGGAGACACTTAACAGTGCGAGAGAACGAGATGCGAAGATCTGAAAAAAAATTCTTCTCTCGACTGTTAGGACTCCAGGGGCCGGTTCACCCGAAACTGGAAGCGCCGCTTTGGCGCCCCCCCCTGCGGGAGAGTTCCTTGAAGTAGGACATCAGGACTGACGGCATGCTCCCGACACGATCCATCCAAACGCCGTGCTCTGAGCGACGGCAGCCCATCTTGAAGGTTTAGAAACCCGGGTTGGATCACCTTCGGGTACACGTCGGATCCCAACACCAGGGAGATGGTGGCTGGACGATGGAACTGGTCATCGGCTAGTCGGATGGTATCGAATTTGGCCCGAACCTCATCGCTCAGCGCACGAATCGGTGTTCGGATCCGCAGACTGTTGTCGATCTTCAGGACCATATCCATGTTGAAATCGCCCGACCTCGACCGGATGGTCGTTGAGCACACTCGTTCGTCTCCAACTTGCGTGGTCGGCAGCCGAAAAGCTTCTGCCAGCGAGCTATCGATACTGCTCACGAGGGTACACGGGTCGATAAGCGCGCCCGTCTCATAGCTGTTGGCCCCTGTGTCGATGACCACAATGGCCGTCGGCAGAATATGTATACTCCTGTGCTGCAGGAGCGAGGTCACGGATGGGGCCACAATAGACGGTGGGGCAGACGATCGATACTGCGATGCGGATGCCTGCTGCTGTGGTGACTGCTGTCGAATCGGGGACGGAGAATGGCGACGTTGCGGGGCCGGCGACTGGTGGCGTTGCGGGGAAGGCGACTGTCGACGTTGCTGGAAAGGCGATCGGCGAGTTATCGCGGGCATTTCGTGCATGTGGAGCAAGGTGTGATGCTCCTGTCCACATTTTTTGCAAACGTCGCCACTGCGACATTTCCCTCCGGAGCGCTGATAAGCCAAACAATTGTGGCAGTACTTGTTCACCAGTACTGCTCGGAGACGCTTCTCTGAACTGAGCCTCATGAATCGGTTGCATTTCCGTAGTGGATGTATACCCTGGCAGACTCGGCAGCGGTAGGATTTTATACCTCGAGAACATCTGCTGACAAGGGTCTGGGAAGTGCGTGGGCGAGGACGAAGAGCTATTCTGAACCTTTACTTGGAAGAGAAAGCAAAACAACAAACAAATCAGAAAAGGAGTCGCTTTA